CATTTGTCAACAGGTGAAGGGCGAGAGGCAAAGACCTGGAGGACTTATGCAAAATCTTCCGATACCAGCGTGGAAGTAGGAAGACATCACCATGGATTTTGTTTATGGGTTGCTAAGGACACAGTCGAGATTGGACGGCATTTGGGTAATTGTGGATCGACTTACTAAGACTGCTCACTTTTTACCAGTTTGATAAACCTATTCACTGGAGAAGTTATCGAAGTTGTTCATCGATAATATTGTCAGACTTCATGGTGTACCTGTCTCCATTGTTTCAGACAGAGATCCTAGGTTTACTTCCAGGTTTTGGAAAGCTTTTAATATTGCTATGAGTACTCAGTTGCTATTCAACATTGCTTATCATTCACAGACCGATGGTCAGTATAAGCGGACAATTTAGACGTTGGAGGACATGTTGATAGTGTATGTTATCCAGTGGAAGGGTAATTGGGATAGCTATCTATCGTTGGTTGAGTTTGCATACAATAACATCTATCATTCGAGCATCGGTATGGCACCTTATGAGGCTCTATTTGGAAAAGTGTGTCAGACGCCGTTGTGTTGGATAGAGGTCGGCGAACGGGTGTTAGTAGGACCAGAGATTGTGGACACCACAAATGCTAACATCCAGCTGATTAAAAGAAATCTAAAGACAGTGCAGGATCAACAGAAAAGTATTGCGGCCAAACATTCCAGGGATTGTGAGTACAAGGTTGGTGACTTTGTGTTTTTGAAGTTGTCTCCCTGGAAGGGTGTTGTTCGTTTTGGTAAACGAGGAAAGCTGAGTCCTCGATATATCGGTCCCTATCAGATTACTGAGAGAATTGGTGCAGTTGCCTACCGATTGGAGCTACCACCGGAGTTGTCGCTGATTCACAACGTTTTCCATGTTTCTATGCTTTGAAAATATGTACCAGATCCCTCACATATCATTCAATTAGAGCCGCTGGAGGTAAATCAGGATGCTAGCTATGTGGAAGAACCAGTGGCTATCCTTGATCGGCAGGATAAAGTGTTGAGGAACAAAGTTATTCTGTTGGTGAAAGTGCTCTGGAGGAACCACGTTGTTGAGGAATCGATGTGGGAAACAGAGGATTTGATAAGAAGTCAGTATCCGTTTTTATTTGCTTAAGGTTGTAAATTTCGGGGACGAAATTTTTATAAGGGGGTAGATTGTTACACCCGCCTCTGCTTATAAATGTAATTCTGTAATTCTCCCTAAAAATTTATAGAATTATCACTTTAGTCCTTAATTCTTCACCCAATCAAGATCTGGAAAAGAGATTTGTTCCCATCCCTAAGCTGCCACGTGGCAGTACCCCAACCCACCTCTCTTTTCTCTTTTTGTCCCCTACCTGCCGTGACCCCTTCTCTTTCTTTCTCTTTCTCTATTTCTTTCTTCTCTCTTTCTCTGCACACTCTTTCTTCCCTCTCTCGTCTTTTTCCCTCTCCTACACCGTGACCATACACACGCACCCATAGCTGCACCTGCTCGGGGAGATCATCATCATCATCGCCATCAAACCTCATCTTTCTCTCCCTTGCTCTCGTGGCCATGAGGAAGTAAGAACCGAGAACTTTCCGGCGAGTTTCCTTTGTTTTTTCCGATTTGGTAAGCTTTGATTTTTTCCTCTATCCGTGTTAGTTGTTTCCTGAATGTGTTTTACTGAGTTTGAGCTCGTTATTTCCAAGGTTTTAGAGTGAGATCGGCTCTGGTGAAGGCACACCTATCTCCGGCGAGTTTCGTGGATGTCAAGGAGTTTTCCGACCACCACAGGCCGTTTTACGGCGAACCAAAGGTATAAAAATACTCCTCTTGTCTAGTGCTTCATTTTGATACCTAGATCGGGGTCTAGAGTGCATATTTACAGTTGGCCAGAGTTGTAGAAGCTCCGGCGTTCTCCTCCGGTTCGCACCAGGCCCTTCCGACCGTTTCTCCACCCACAGGCCTTAGGCCTATTTTGGTTTCAGCCCAAAACCTTAACCCTTTTCCTTTTTTTTATATTTATTTAATTTCTTTAAGACCCAAAGGCCTTAGGGCCGTGTTAGCAAACCCAAAACCCTTTCTATTTGGGCCTTTGGGCCCGTGTGGTTTAAGCCCTAAACCAACCCACCTAAAATCTAAACCCATTTTCCTAACCCAAACCCTAGGGCCCAAACCCGGACCCAATACCCAAACCCTAAATCGGGTTGACCCGGATTGACTCTGACGGGTTGACCCATGACCTGTTGACTTTGACCCATTGACCATTGACTGGGTCAACGATCAACGTTGACTTTTGACTTTGACCAGTCAACGGTCAACGTTGACTTTGACCTCGGGGTTGACTTTTTGGGTTTACGTGCGGGACCCCTCCTAAGCTAATTTCAACGTTCTGGACCCGTTTTTGAAGTCCGTTTTCCCAAATTCAATCGTTTGAGTAGAGTTTGATTGAAGGTACCATTTGTGTGAATAGGTGCGATTCATAGCAGTGATTCTATTATTCCTGTTTGGTACGGCTTGGACCAACGGTGTACGGTGAGTAGACCCCATCTAAAAATGCATGTTTTGATAGTAGAAATGCATACATGAAAAGCATGATTTGATGACTATATTTTATGAAACGTTTTATGAGATAACATGCTTACTGAGGCTATTTTGAATTGTTACTATTTTTCCTATAACCCATGTTCTTATAGAATATCTGATGGATGACGATATGATATTTAGAACATATTTAGAGCACCTCTTTATACTATAGATGATGGATGACTTTATACTATGAAGTTGTTTTTCAATATATGTATGTTCAATGGTTTTGTACTTACCTAGTGGTCATTTCCGCTATGGGACGTAGGGATAGATTCTGGTCCGTCCCGGACGATGGTTTGGTGCTGGCATAGGGCCTGAAGTGTGTTTCCTCTGGCTATTTAGCACAGGGATGGGGAGCCGGCATAGGGCCTGTAGTGTGTTTTCCTCTAACTGTCTGCTCAGAGACGGGGAGCCGGCATGGGGCCTGAAGAGTTATCGGACATTCATTAGTGATTATTATTTATACAAATTACGATTTAAGACATTGCATGGCATGCTAAATTTCGAAAAATCTATGTTTATCATAATATATGTGTTTTCATAAAACCTGGGGGTTAGTACGTTAATAACTATTTTACTATATATATATATATATATATATCAACTTGGTCCACTCATGTTTGTTTTGCGCCCCCTTCAGGACCTATGAACGAGGAATACGATCTGAGCTACGAGGCATTCCCTTACCAGTGATATTGTGCTATATTCTCTCTGCTTCGACATCTATTGTAATAACACTTCTCTATCTTAGTTTCTGCTTGTACTCTGTAATAGACTTATGCTCTGGACGTGTTATGTATTTTCCCTAATTTCAATACTTAGTAGTTGTACTTTTATTTTGTGTAATTAGCCCCTATTGCATGTTCTAGCTTATTTCTCAGCATTTGGTTAAATTAAATGGCTTTCGTCACCCTTCGGGTGTCGGCTAGCATGTGACCATCTCAATGTCCCCAGGACCTCGGGGTCGGGGTGTGTCATCCTCTCTCTCTCTCTCTCTCTCTCTCTATCTCCCTCTCTATCTCTCTCTCTCTCACTTCAAGTGTGTCCCTCTCCATCTCCATCTCCATCTCTTGCATTTGTCCATATCTATCTCCGTCTCCTCTCCCTTTCTTTCTCCTTCTCTATCTGGTAAGCGATAATGGTTAATTTGATTTTGCCATTTATATTTTTAATTATGAATTCCAACAAACAAAATTCAATTTCTTTCCTATAGGTTTGTTGTATACAATTATTGTTGGAGATCGAATTTGAAGTTAATTTTGTAAGTAGTTTATGTTGTTGTGATTTAGTTTTTGAATTTATGTGGTAGTTTGATTGAAGTAATACATGTGTGTATTCAAATATATTTTTTCATGATGTATAAAAAAATACTTTGTGCTATGCGTATGAAAATGTGAATACGTACGAACCTATTTATTGTTCGCTAGGACAATAATATAGTCGCATTTAGAATAGGTCATTATGGCTTTTATACCAGTTGGTATACAATAATGGAATCGTACAAGAAGGAGATGAAGGCGTTGTACAAGTACGTCAGAAGTGATGTAAAGGCCATCACTTCTGATGGAGCTAACGGGTATCAACCACCAACAAAAGATGCTGTGGAGCTAAGTATTAGCTAGATTTGTAATAAATAATGGTCCCAAATTCCAAATACTTCAGTGAAGTTATGAACTCGAGCCAGTATTTTGGACGTTGCAAGTTTCACAAGTTAAAACAATAAACCTAACATTATTTTTAGTTAAATGGAAGATGAAAGCTGGTATTGGCATGGGAGCCACAACTGAAAATACAAGTTATACAACTGAACAATAAGAGTCGATCAACCGTAGATATGAAATTTACGTTTAGGATGGTATTGGTAGCAGAGGCGGCATTGGGAGTGTGCAAAATGCGCACTGGCACATGGCCTCGAATTTTTAAAGGGTCCCAATATTTTTGGATCCTCCTATATATTACATATGTGTATAAATTTCTAATAAAAATGCTTTTAACTGAAAAGAAAAATCGTCATCATATGATTTTATCTAGCAATAAATAACTTGTGTATTGCTTTCTTCCACTTTTCTTAAGTAACAAAAAACTAACTTGTGCGTTACTTTTTTCTACAAACACAATCCTATTTCCATCTCTCTCTTTCAGTTGTGCTCCATTTTTTTCTATGGATGAACCCTAAATCATGATTTCACGTTAACTGGAGATTATGCAATTAGTAGGAGTGAGATGTTGATTTCAATTAAGTTTGAATATTGTTTGTTGAACTTTGTATGAATATATTGTCCAAAAATTATTATTATTTTAAATAAATAGGGCCTTTTTATTAAATTTGCATAGGGCCTTCAAAATGTCCGAGATGCCCCTGATCGGTAGGCAAGGATATTTCAGGAAATAAATTAAAAGTAGAGTCGTGTATTGTGTCTCTACGAGTACTATAATAATCTCAATACTTGAGCAAAGCAGTAGAAGAAACTCAAAAGCACAAACAATATTTGCCGAGAATGATTATGGTAGTTCAGCACAATCCTAGCGTGGTGGAGGTTCTGTGATCTGCTGCCTGGTTTTCGTTTCTGAGGACCCAATCCAACTTGTAAGTCTATGACAACGAAACTCAAGAACTTTCTGTAGCTTATTGTGATAAGTTTCTAAATGTTGATTATTTTTCAATCTTAGTTTCAAATGAAATGTATTGCTGCAAATTAGTTAGAACAGATCCTGGTTTAGCTTAGTCCCTGAGTTTACCAAGCAAATGTTGCTGATCGTTTAATCGTTTTCAGTTTTGGTTTTCAATTTCTTAAAAAGTGAAAACTTGTCTGGTAAAAACTAAAAAATAAAAACGAAATGTTTCAAACGGCCATTAAATAAATTGAACTCATATATAGACACCATATCTATGAGTTGTTCCACTTGATATTCTCTTCATTGAATACGTACATAAAAATATAAGCAATGTGGTCAATTGGATATTTTTAAGTGCCTTGGATATATATTGTTTATAATTTATAACAAAAATATTTATTAGTACATTAAATATTTAAAGAACCAAAATAAATCCTATGTATCTCCTAAACCGTAGTCCTGCATCATCTTCTTACCCTCCCATATTGTTTTTCAGCAATCATGTACGATCTACTGTTGTGGCTTTTGATTATGTGATTATATGGATTAGACATTCTTGAAACGTACCGTGATCAACCACGATGACATATGTAAAACAAAATCACTATAAAGAAACACTAATTTACAAAAATTTACATTAATTCTAATAAATATAGTCATTTCTAAAAAAAAATATTAAATGGCATTATTTCATAAAATTTACATTAATTCTAATAAATATAGTCATTTCTAAAAAATTTATTAAATGGCATTATTTCATAAAATTTACAAAAATACATAAATAAATAAATTTTGCAAAAAATTTCTAATATTTCCTAAAAATTTCTGATATCTCAAAAATTTCCTAAAAATTCTAGTATTTATAAAATCTTCTAATTATTCTAAAAATTATAATATTCCACAAACGAACATTAGAAAAACAAACCACCCACCAACCCAAGTCCACCTACCCAAACCCAACCTACCCGCCCTACCATATTGTTTTTCAGCAATCATGTACGATCTACTGTTGTGGCTTTTGATTATGTGATTATATGGATTAGACATTCTTGAAACGTACCGTGATCAACCACGCTGACATATGTAAAACAAAATCACTATAAAGAAACACTAATTTACAAAAATTTACATTAATTCTAATAAATATAGTCATTTCTAAAAAAAATTATTAAATGGCATTATTTCATAAAATTTACATTAATTCTAATAAATATAGTCATTTCTAAAAAATTTACTAAATGGCATTATTTCATAAAATTTACAAAAATAAATAAATAAATTTTGCAAAAAATTTCTATTATCTCCTACAAATTTCTAATATTTCCTAAAAATTTCTGATATCTCAAAAATTTCCTAAAAATTCTAGTATTTATAAAATCTTCTAATTATTCTAAAAATTATAATATTCCACAAACGAACATTAGAAAAACAAACCACCCACCAACCCAAACCCAACCTACCTACCCATCGCCACGCCCACCTGGCCGCCCCGCACCCCCACCACCTTCGACGAGACCCCACCCCACCGTCCCCTTCCCTAAGCCCTTTCCCCGCCACCTTCTTCCTGCCTAAACCCTAAAACCACCCCACCCTCCTTCTCCGTATCCACCTAAACCCACCACACCACCTTCCCATACAAATTCGCAAATATACAAAGCATTTCACATATAAATTAAAGCATTTCGTAGTATAAAATTTCTAATATAAAAAAAAAAATTAAATTCGAAAAAGTTTTATATCATACCTTTGTGAAAGCTCAAGAGTGAGAGAAAGAGGGAGGGAGATAGAGGGCAAAGATGGCGAGTGAGAAAGAGTTGAGAGGGGGATGGCAGTTTGCAGAGGGGAGGGGAATTTGCAGAGAGAGATATCAGAGAAACAACGCAGGAAGAAAGAAGGTTCTCGGGCCTATTATAAAACATCAGGACCCTTGCACGACCAATCAATTCGTTGGGCAAACGTAAAAAATGTGACACATGTATTATGAACGTGTTTTTTTGTCGGGCAATCTTATGCATATTGCCGGTGAAGTGTAAACCCTAAATCATAAAATATATCTTTGGCCGACGAATGCTTTCACTTTAGTTGACGAAATTTGAAAGGTTCGTCGGGAAATACTTAGTTTTTATTTATTTTTCATTATGCCCAACGAAAATTGGAAGGTTCGTCGGGCAAGGTTATGTTGGCCAAAGAAATTTTCGCAATGCAATTGTATTTCGATTTTCTTTTTGTTTTTTAATTTAATTAATTTAGTTTGACATATTTAAAATACAAATAAATATGAAAAATAATAACCAAATGGAATAGATTTATATTAAAAGTGTACATACAAACAAAATAAAATATTACAATCCTAATACAAATTAAATAGTTAACGCGGTGGTGATGACTGGAAATGGGCTCGACATGGCGCCAACAACTCCATGTTGGACAACACGATCTCGAGCGATCTTCCACTCGGCGTACTGCTTCTTGACGATATCATCTATGTAGGTGATCGTGTCGGCATTGAGCTCTTCAACATCATAGTCCAACTACAATTATCAAAATTATTAAAATATTATTAGTAATAGTAATAGTAATAATTAAAAATTATTATTAAAATTTGAATTGACACTTACTGATAGCACATTCCACACCGCATTCATCTCCTCCGACAGCTTTTCCGGGATAGCCACCGCTTAGGGCAAAAGTTTTGCACTATCGATCTTATGTGGTGCACCAGCGTGCTGTGCACCTTCGCCGTAGAAGCTGCGCGGTACAGGAGATCATACTTGATGCATATCCGGCCATTCGGCACACGTGTCAATGGAGATTAACAAGTATATTTATGTATATGTGTGTGTGTGTGTGTGTGTGTGTGTGTGTGTGTGGGCGTAACGTTAGGAAGTCAAACCCTTATATTCAATACTTATCAATAACGTTACAAGTGATTTTAACGGATGCAATATCAGTGTTGGAATAAAATGGTCCAATCGGAATTAAGGACCTTAAAATACCTTGAATTTGATAATAAAGAGTCTTTATAAATACCATTTGGAATAGCAGTTAAGAAGAGAAAATATCTATATCAATTATATGATATTAACAGTTGTATTATGAAATACCCTTAAAAATTCCAACGCAAACTGCTCTCAAACTCAAACTCAAGGCGCAAACTGTTTCTCTGTAATCCTTGTTCGCTTTGTAGTCAATTTTCAGATACATTAGATTGAAAGTATTTTTAGTTTTATTTCATTACGTTTGGAAGAATGTCATGTTAATCCCCTTAATTCTACAGTTAACTTGATTTGTTTACAGCGTTTCAGGACCACGAACAAATTAATTGGATTGGAATCATAAGTAATCGCTATGGACGTAGACATTTTACTTGAAGCGTCGAAGAACACCTCGACGCCACAGCTTCCCAGGTGCATCTTCAGAGTTCCTGAAGTTCTCCGCAGACATAACGTACTGGCATACGCACCTGACATTGTCTCAATCGGACCCTATCATCCACGAAACAATGTACAATTTCAAGCTATGGAAAATCTGAAATACGAGTATTTGCGCGACCTTCTCTTACACATGGATAGGTCACATGACAGGGATATGGAGTTAGAAACATCGATCAATAAACTCATCAATTACATTAAAGATCACAAGCAAGTACAATACATGGCTGAGTTTGAGAAAAAAGCTCGTGATTTTTATGCACATCCGTTTGATCCTCTGATGAAAATGGAGTTTCTCCACATGATGATACTTGATGGTTGCTTCCTGGTACAAATATTTAGGAAGAGTATGGATGAGGACCAGAGGGACACTAATGACCCCTTATTCAACATGGATTGCATGTTCCAGTACATATGTCATGACCTCTTGCTCTTAGAAAATCAGATTCCTTGGTTTGTCCTCCAGGACATATATGAGCTCACCGTGAAGTATTACCAGACCCCTCAGCCCAGCCTCTCGCGACTCATCCTCACCGAGCTCAGCTCACAACCACAACTGTCCCATAACTGCAAGTCGTATCTGCATCATCTAAGAAGAAATGATGACAATGAGGATGACTCACAACCACAACCATCCCATAACTGCTGGTGGTATCTGGATCATCTAAGAAGAAATGATGACAGAGAGGATGAAATTGCGCTCCACATCTTAGACCAAGAGGATGAAAGTGTGCTCCACATTCTCGATCTCATAAGAACTTCCATAGTTTTCTCATTCACTGAATGCTATGAAGATGAGAAACCTTCCTTCAATGCAAATACACAATCGATAGCTTCAGCAACTGCTCTTTCTGAGGCCGGCATTAGATTCAAAATGAGCTCCGATGAATGTAAAAGCATAATGAACATAGAATGCAAGAATGGGGTTATTATGATTCCGCATCTAGAAATTGGAGAGTTAACTGAATCGATATTCAGGAACCTGATCGCCTTGGAGCAGTGCTGTTATGGTCGTTCGCATAAAATCACATCTTATGCCGTTCTGATGGATAACCTCCTCGGTTCTAGCAACGATATTAAATTTCTCTGCGACATGGGAATTATAGGTAACTGGCTGAGCGCTGAAAATGGTTCTGAGTTCTTCAGCAAGCTTTACTGCGACACGGTGCTTACTTATTTCTACTATGATGGACTCTGTACTCGAGTAAAGAAACACCAAACTAAATCGAGGAGGTGGGGAGAAACATTCGCGCGTAACTATTGTTCAGATCCATGGAAAACCACCTCCTGGATTGCAGCAAGTATCCTTCTGATTCTCACCGGTTTCCAGACTGGATACACCATGGCGCAATACTATTCTCCTCGGGCATGAAGTTTTTTATTAGTTAAATCTGTGGCATGTATGTTAAACTTGTTGGGAGTATTTTAACCACTAGGGTTAAGCTTCCTAGTTTCTAGGTCAACTTTGTAGTCGTTAATAATTCCTATTATTAAGGAACCAGTATTGTTTCACGTTCAGTCTTTAACCCTAGTCAGATACCACGATTCTAGGTGCTGTAAAATCGTGGGTTGTTACTTTCATTCAGTTATCTTGTAAGGCTATAAGTAGTCTGTGTTATCTTTGAATTCAATAAGATTATTCTCCCAGAAACCAAGTGTGTATTGAACTTCCTTCTCTCTCAGTCTCTCGAAGATCTTTCTGGTTTTTTAACATCTGGTATCAGAGCCCCACCACGAGGCTTGATTTAAAGTCTGACAGTAAACACGAGTGCAGTGAGAAGGAGCAGCGATATGGTAGGAGAAAGTAGTTTTGTGCAGCCAGCCATTCCTAAGCTTGATGGGCATTATGATCATTGGAGCATGCTGATGGAGAATTTTCTGCGATCCAAAGAATACTGGAGTTTGATAGAAACTGGGGTCCCTACAATAGCAGAAGGAGTGGATCCTACAGAGGTACAGAAGAAGACAATCGAAGATCTAAGGCTTAAGGATCTTAAGGCAAAGAATTATCTGTTTCAAGCCATCGATCGATCGATCTTGGAGACAATTTTGAAAAAGGATACAGCAAAAGACATTTGGGACTCCTTGAAGCAAAAATATCAAGGCACGGCTCGAGTCAAACGTGCACAGCTGCAAGCTCTTCGCAAAGAGTTTGAAGTACTCCACATGAGGGTGGATGAGTCTGTTAATGGGTACTTTGCTCGAACTCTCACCATTGCCAACAAGATGAGAGTGCACGGTGAACAGATGGGTGATGTGGTGGTCATCGAGAAGATCTTAAGGTCCATGACTCCAAAGTTTGATTACGTTATGTGCTTCATTGAGGAATCAAATGATATAGACAGTTTATCCATTGACGAACTTCAAAGCAGTCTGTTGGTTCATGAGCAAAGAATGTGTAGGCATACTGAGGATGAACAAGCACTACAAGTCACGAATGATGGAGGACGAAGAGGAGGTCGTAGCTCTTACTGCGGAAGAGGAGCGGAAGAGGAAGAGGACGTGGTCGATCGGGATTTGACAAATCCACAGTGGAATGCTATCACTGTCACGGGCTTGGCCATTTTCAATGGGAGTGCCCTAAAAAGGAGAAACAAGCAAACCTGGCCGAGACAAGTGAAGAGATGCTACTTATGGCGTACGTGGATGATAACAAGACTAGCAGTGACTGTGTGTGGTTTCTAGATTCAGGGTGCAGCAATCGTATGAGTGGCAAGAAGGAGCTTTTCTGTGATCTTAATAAAGGCTTCAAAGATTCTGTTAAACTAGGAAATGATGCAAGCCTGACAGTGCAGGGAAAGGGCAGTGTTCGAATGGAGATAGATGGACTTATGCATGTGATTACTGAGGTATTCTATGTACCAGATTTGAAGAATAACCTACTGAGTATTGGACAACTACAAGAGAAAGGTCTTGCAGTTCTCATACAACACGGAGCTTGCAAAATCTTTCATCCTGAGCGGGGCTTAATCATTGAAACTGCTATGTCACATAACAGGATGTTCATTCTCATTGTACGATGTCAGATAAGGGAGCAAAAGTGTCTCGTATCTCTTGTCTCGGAACAGTCCCAACTTTGGCATTGTCGATATGGTCATCTAAGCTGGAGTGGTCTCAAAGTTCTTCAACAGAAGAAGATGGTGGAGGGTATGCCACAGCTCAAAGTTACTTCGAAGGTTTGTGAAGATTGCTTGGTGGGGAAACAACGAATGGACTTTTTTCCTAAGGAAAACACGTGGAGGGCGTCAGGTATTCTTCAGTTAATTCATGCTGATATCTGTGGGCCAATCAATCCAATATCACATAGGAGGAAACGGTATCTCATCACCTTCATAGATGATTTTAGTCGTAAAACTTGGGTGTATTTTTTGGTAGAAAAGTCTGAAGCTTTTGTTGTTTTTACGAACTACAAAGTTAGGGTTGAAAAAGAAACAGGAGTATACATTAGGGCTCTTCGCACTGACAGATGAGGAGAATTCACATCACAAGAGTTCACTAACTTTTGTGAAGTGAATGGCATACGAAGACAACTCACAACTGCATACTCTCCCCAGCAAAATGGAGTTGCCGAGAGGAAGAATCGGACAATTATGAACATGGTCCGAAGCATGCTTTCTGGAAAGAACATCCCAAAAACATTTTGGCCTGAAGCTGTAAATTGGACTATGCATATTCTTAATCGGAGTCCCACACTTGCAGTAAGGAGCAAGACTCCAGAAGAGGCATGGAGTGGAAAGAAACCAGCAATGAGTCATTTTAGAATCTTTGGATGTATTTCTCACGTCCATGTACCAGATAACAGAAGAATAAAGCTTGACAACAAGAGCTTGAAATGCATATTCCTTGGGGTGAGTGATGAGTCAAAAGCCTATAGATTATATGATCCGATTTCTCAAAAAATAATTGTGAGTCGAGATGTTGTTTTTGACGAGGATCAAAGTTGGAAGTGGGAGGCCTGTTACACAGGAGATATTGCAGCAGACCTTGAGTGGGAATCAGATGAGGAAGATGGTCCAGAAAATGGCGATAATGCAGAGGGTTCAGAAGCTAGCAGCACTGAGGAGGGTGAAAGCAGTGAAGCCTCACTTCATGAAGAGACTATGGAGAACTTACCTCATGGGGCACGGATACGAAGACCACCAGTATGGATGCGAGACTATGTAAGTGGGGAAGGTTGCTCCGAGGAGGAAGACTCCAACGTTGCATGCATGGTTGTAGCTTCAGAAGATTCCAATGTTGTAGGCATGGTTGAGTTTCCTGATAGTGACCCCATCTTCTATGAAGATGCAGTTAAGAATGAGAAATGGAGGCAGGCCATGAACTTAGAGATCGAGGCTATCGAAAAGAATGAAACATGGGAACTTACAACGTTACCCCATGGAGGCAAAGTTATCAGTGTTAAGTGGGTTTACAAGACAAAACTCAATGAGAATGGGGAAATAGATAAGTATAAGGCGCGACTCGTTGCAAAAGGGTACAGTCAAGAGTATGGGGTAGATTATGCTGAGGTATTTGCACCGGTGGCTAGACTCGACACCATTCGAGTCGTGATTTCACTTGCTGCTCAAAAGGGATGGATGCTCTATCAACTAGACGTCAAGTCTGCGTTTCTGCATGGAGAGATAAATGAAGAAGTCTTCATTGCTCAGCCTCTTGGATATGAGAGAATAAGACATGAACACAAAGTATACAAGCTTAAGAAAGCCTTATATGGTCTCAAGCAAGCTCCTCGAGCTTGGTACAGCTGGATAAAGACTTACTTTGTCAATGAAGGTTTCAAGAAGTGTCCATATGAACACACTTTGTTCATCAAAGCAGCGGATGGAGGTAAAGTTTTGATTGTTTGTCTGTATGTAGATGATTTAATCTTTACTGGAAACAATGAAGTTATGTTTGAAGAATTTAAACGATCCATGATGATAGAATTTGATATGACTGATCTTGGAAAAATGAAGTTCTTCTTGGGTATTGAGGTGTTGCAACGGTCAGATGGGGTATTCATTGGCCAACGTAAATATGCACAAGAGGTGCTTAACAGGTTCAACATGGATCAATACAATCCAGTGGATAATCCAACAGTTCCAGGGTTTAAGTTAAGGAATGATGAAGGTGGAGTAAGGGTGGACAACACCTTCTACAAACAAATTGTAGGAAGCCTCATGTATTTAACTGATACATGCCCTGACATTGCATTTATAGTAAGCTTGATCAGCAGGTACATGGAGCGCCCTACTGAAATGCAGTTACAGGCGGCAAAAAGAGCGTTAAGGTATGTGAAGGGAACCATTGGCCTTGGGGTGTTTTACAAGAAGAGAGGAAATCAGGAGCTTCTGGGATACTCGGACAGTGATTATGCAAGGGATCAAGATGACAGAAAGAGTACTTCAGGTTATGTATTTCTAATGAGTTCAGGAGTTGTGTCTTGGTCTTCGAAGAAACAACCAGTGGTCACTCTTTCCACCACTGAGGCCGAGTTTATTGCCGCTGCGTCTAGTGCTTGTCAAGCTGTCTGGTTAAGGAGAATCTTAAAGGAACTTTGTCATGATCAGTGCAAGGCTACGGTACTACTATGTGACAACGTATCAGCTATCAAACTTTCAAAAAATCCAGTTCTGCATGGTCGAAGCAAACACATTGATGTCCGCTTTCACTTCCTGCATGATCTTACAAAGGAAGAAGTTGTAGATTTGGTTCAGTGCTCAACCCAGGAGCAAATTGCAGATATTTTCACAAAACCGTTGAAGCTTGAAGATTTCTTGAAGCTGCGAGGCTTGTTGGGCATCTGTGCTTATCTGGGAATAAACTCAATGGTGATAACATTCAGTTTAAGGGAGGATGTTAAACTTGTTGGGAGTCTTTTAAACACTAAGGTTAAGCTTCCTAGTTTCTAGGTCAACTTTGTAGTCGTTAATAATTCCTATTATTAAGGAACCAGTATTGTTTCACGTTCAGTCTTTAACCCTAGTCAGATACCACGATTCTAGGTGCTGTAAAATCGTGGGTTGTTACTTTCATTAAGTTATCTTGTAAGGCTATAAGTAGTCTATGTTATCTTTGAATTCAATAAGATTATTCTCCCAGAAACCAAGTGTGTATTGAACTTCCTTCTCTCTCAGTCTCTCGAAGATCTTTCTGGTTTTTTAACAATGTATGCATGTAATTCATTTTAATTTTACAATTTTTTTTTTTTTAGTATGACAATATATTTTAATTTTTGCTTTCGGGTATAACAATATCAACTCGTATTTTGTTTTAGTATAAAAATGTGTTGTAAAGCTAAGATTGTTTTTTAAGAAACAAATAACACAATAATTTGTCATCCACTTGACTACATCTGTCCCTGGAATCTTAAGAAGTATTATAATCTCGTTCCAAAGAGCAATTGGGCAAAACCTATATTGGCTAGAAATTCATAACATGCAAAATTGATTTTCTTTTTCAACATATGCATTTCTATTTCTGTTTTTGCAACTGCAGTCAAATCCAACCATCAGATTTGGCCTAAAAAATAATCAGTTAATTGTACTTTAAGAAAAGAAAAAAAGATTCGCGCTTAAATAAAATAGTCCGAACCATGCCAATCAATTCATTTGGTATGCCAAATTTTGATACACGAAAAGTTTGGTATGGTAATTGGTATGAGAT